AAAAAAGATCTACCCTGTACAGAGGTTAAATGTTATTATTTTGGATCCAGTCCAATTTCTTAGCTGATAAATAGTCAAAATACTCCTGAGGTAGTTACATTGAATACTGAGAAATTACACGCACCATGTACTCATAAATCTTTATCAGTTGTTTGTACCTGGTCTCTGACACTCTTATCGGGGTCGACAGTAATGGCACAGAGGGTGGGCAGGATGCGGGCAGCGATCTCCATCACACTGTAGTAGTTGTGTGTTGCGGCAAAGCCCAAGACACCAGCGGAACGTGAAGCTGGGAAGGGGTCTTTAGTGGCTCGTGAGAAGGCAGAAATCAGAACACGCTGTCGAGTCTGTGAAAAGATGGATAACCAGATTCTTCCATTCAAACATTCTTTACTGAACTTTGGTTTAAGCTTGCCTTAAAATAAATGGATGAAGTGTTACACAGTAGTGTGGCTGTGCTTTACCCCTGCATTGAGGTAGGAGGCTATCTTTCCCAGGCAGACAGTGGTGTTGCACCGGATCGGGCCTTGTTCGTCTCTGGCCTGCAGCCGGGCAAAGTGACGCATCAGCTCCTGGTTCAGGTTGGTCTCATTCAGCTTGGGAGCCAGTAGCAACATAGACTGGAGGGGAATGGGGACAACAGAGAAGGGTTATAGCTAAAACAAGCTGTAAACATCCATCAGTAATATGTAATAACACCTCCTGGTTTGTGGTGATGTTTAAGGGCACAATCTACCTTAACAGTCTGTTCTCTGATAGCAGGGTTGGTGTCTGTGAAGCCATGAACAACATGAGGGAAAATCTGGGAGTTGACCGCTGGCTCATTCAGATACTGAATGAACTGCTCCATCTAAGACAGAGAGAGACAGAAGAAACAATGTAAAATTGAACTGATGTTTTTCTTTCCTGGTACTAAAGTAGCTGCTGCAAAACATGGTGCTGGAGGAAAATTTAAATTAAATTAAAATACAACTAATATGCCCACTGAATCACTGAAGGAGATTCTCCATAGCCAGGTGAACTAGGCTTACATACCTGCTGCAGAAGTCGTATCCTCATGGCTCGGTCTGTGGAGGAAAAC